AAAAAGGGAAAAATTTTGACTCGGCCCGCTGCTAGCAAGTTCTGTGGAAAGAGGCAGGGCTCCAGCAAAGACATTTATGTCCATTCTAGCTAGCTATCTCTTTCGCTTCATTTAAGAACTTTAGTCCTTCCTTGAAATTTCTAAAATTTCTGGTCCCTCATTATTATTAATGTGCTTATATAATTGTCATTTTTCCATGTAAAAAAAATTACAGATAAGTGACAAGTCTGTATCCAAATAATTTTGGAGTCAGTCAGTCTCCCCATCCACTAATTGGTACCTATTTTTCTACTGCAATTAGGTGTTGAAAATGTACGCACTCTTTGAAAGAAAGCATTCACTGTAGGGTTGGAAGACTCAAGAGCCAAGAAATCATCTAAATCTAGATATTTTCACTTGTCTTGCTACAAGGCTGGCAAGAAAGCACTGTACATATCGTAGCTAGGGTAAAGATATATAGGGTATGATTGTGACTAAAATTTTACATAATCAGTGTGCCATTTCAATTTGTTCCTCTGTTTCAACTATGAAGAAGAAGACTTTAATTTTTTTCCCCTACCTCTTTCTTAGAAGTTTTAATCTCTTTATGTACTAAATTATTTATACTGAATCGATCTATGTTTGGGCATTATTGCCAGTCTGATGTATCCACAATGAAGTATTGAAAATTGGTCTCTCTTATTAGAGAGCGCGTAATATAAACTGTGAAAGTGGAAAAGTCAAGAGTCATGACATCATAGCTCTATTCTTTCTTTTCGGCCAACGAGTTAACCTAAATACAAAGAAAAGAACACAGACGCTGGCTTTAGTTAGACGATAACATATCTTTACTAGATAGAAAACAAGTAAAATGATCACCGTGGCTAGGGTTTCTTTGCGGTCGATTCCCTTTCTCTTCATTCTTCTAAACCTAACCCTCATATCTCATCATGGCACTGATGCTCAGCAAGACTTCTTAATACTTCTGCGGTGACGGCCCCGCTAATAGCGATAGTTCCTTCAGAGACAGCCTCAAAAACCTGCTACTAGACATATCTTTCACCTCACAGATCGACTATGGCTTCTATAACTTCTCCTCCGGCAAAAAATCCGACAAAGTTAACGTGATTGGACTATGCCGAGGAGATGTCACTGTACAAGATTGCCGCAGTTGTATCCAAGATTCAAGGGTGATTATTCTCCAAGTATGTGCACCGAACGCGAGGGAAGCAATCGGATGGTACGATGTCTGCTTTCTGCGATACTCAAATCGATCGATATTTGGTGTAATGGAAACATCGCCTGGTTACAATTCGTCGGACGGTCCCATCGTGGATGCTTCGGAGAAAGACGATTTCAGGAATGTGTTGATGCAGATGATGAATTATCTAAGGGAAAGGGCTGCCTCCGGCGATTGGCTTCGGAAGTTTGCGGCGGCGAATGCGAGGGGTCCGAGCAATGAAACGATATACGGTGTGGTGCAGTGCACGCCAGACTTGACGAACAAGGATTGTGATATTTGCTTGAGTGGTGCTATCTCTGATATTTCTAAATGTTGTGACGGAAAGAAAGGTGGTAGGGTGGTCAGACCCAGTTGCAACATTAGATTTGAACCCGAAAGCTTCTTTGACGCTTCTGCATACAATAATACACAACCATTTGTGCCCTCGCCGTTGCCCCATCCCAGGTCCAAACAAGGTAAAGTTTTATATTTTTCCACAAAAACAAAAAAAAAGGTAAACCATGTATAATGTTTCAGTTTCATTTTTTATTTTATAAAGCATCTCCCCGTGTCCCAAATTATAAGATAATTTCAAAAAAATTTTGTTATCTCAAAATATAAAAAATTTAAAAAAATAAAATTTTCTTAATAATACTTTTTTAATATTATCCTTGAAGTGAAAAGAGAATTAAAATGATATTATAATGTAATGATTAAGTGTGTAGTGTCATTTTTAAAAGTTTATAATTTTATTTTGAAAAAGCAAGTTTGTAAAGTATCATTATTAAGTTTTATTAATCTTGTATCAAATTGTCTCGTAATTTGGGACAAAGGGAGTAATGTCATTTAAGTTCTCTAATCTTAACATTGTTATCTATTAAAAAAATTAAACTTAATATATTAATTTTTAAAAGTTCCATGCAATAATTTCTTATTGATGAAGCTAATGTTAGGGTTGAAGGATTGAAATGACACTTTATAAAATTAAGGGACCAAAATAAAATCTAGTATAAGTTAAAAAACTAAATGTACACTTTAATTAGTCTATTTCAATTAGAGAAGATTTCTTAACAAAATAAGATTAATTATTGATGCTTTATTTTTCATTTTCTTTTATAAAATGTTAGTATTTTAGTTTTATAAATATATATAAAAATATATACTCCTCTTGTCCTATTTATAGGGAAGAGAAAGAATGTTTGTTTTGGTCCTATTTATAATGCATCTCAATAATTATTATATTTATCTTTATAATTTTGCCCCTATTAAATGTAGAAAAGTTTATTAAATGCTGGAGTATTTTATTTTAAAATAGTTATATTTAATAAAGACAAAGTTAGAAACTTGTTAAATTTTTACACATAGTTAATAAGATTTTAAAGTTTTTCTTGGTTGTAATAAAAATATTAAAAGTAACTTATAAATAAGACTAAATGGAGCATCTGTTATAGTTCAAATTTTATGGTTACCAATACCATAGCATGTTATATAAACTGATTTGATACATTTGGCAAATTAATTTTTTCAGGTCTGCCTGAATTTAACTAGTCTGGATTTAATAGGTTAGAAATTAAATTCGAAATAATATATAGATTTAAATAAAAAATGGAGTTGGTGAAAAGAAAAAAGTTTATTTCATTCATTTTTACCCTCCATTATTTCAGAGTGACTTAGATTTCAAAATATCCTAACCCTTGTAAGGAATATCAAAGTTTTTCCGCCAAGTATTTTTCCTTTTGGAAAATGAATTATCACGAGTGGATCAACTTGTCATAAATATATATAAGTACAAATTTTGTTTTGTGCAGGAAAGGGGAACACATCATCAAGGACTGTTGTTGTTGCCTTAGTTGTTGCCGTACACGCAGGACTTCTTTTACTCATCTTGATCGTTCTAATATATTTAAAATCCATCAGGAGGCCTAATAGGAAAATTGAAAGTAAGCCAACGTATTATGTTTTGGTGATTTTTCTTAGCCTGAACTTTAAATTGCTCAGATACCATGTTTGCTTTTGATGCAGAATATGTCATAATCATGTGACTTGAAATATACGAAAATTTTTCTATGTATAAAGGTTGCTAAAGTTTTGACTAAGTGATATGATGTTATATATAGTAGGAATTTCGTTTTACAATTGCATGGATGTGCTAATTCATTTAAAACTCAAATTCCCAACGTTTAATTAATCATATTTTAGTCAAAACATTAAAGTTATATGAAAATATACTTTGAAAATAAAAAATGTATGTATAATTTCTTCAAAAATAGTAAAAATCTATGATTAATTAATTTTTTATGTATTGAATCTAAAGACTGAATGATAATTATTATCGAGTTTCAAGGTGGAAAAATTATTTTCAATTTTTCAATTAATTAGAAGAATTTTGTTGAGTAATTTATAACTCCAATGTACTGTGCTTCCTTGCATGTGTAGCTGAAGCTAAGGATGCTGCTGACTCATTGCAAATGGACTTTGAAACCATCAGAGTGGCAACAAATAATTTCTGTGATGCAAATAAACTTGGAAAAGGGGGATTTGGAGCTGTTTACTTTGTAAGATACTAAATAGTATATTATACATTATTAAAATTTTTATACGAAAAAATAAAAATAAAATTAGATTATTCTCATGCATTGAATGAAATTCAAAGAGCATAAGTCGAATCTCTCAAACTTGCAAATTGTCTAGTTTGTTTGTGTTTGTTGGGGAGGCATTTAGTTTAGGATTCTTATATCAAACCTTATACTTATTTTTTCTTTTAATATAATATAATTTCAGGGTAGGCTGTATAATGGACAAGAGATTGCAGTGAAAAGGTTGTGTAGGGAATCTGGGCAAGGTGACACGGAGTTTAAGAATGAAGTGTTATTAATGGCCAAGCTTCAACATCGCAATTTAGTCAAGCTACTTGGTTTTTGTATCAAAAAAGAAGAAAGGCTTCTTGTTTATGAGTTTCTTCCTAACAAAAGCCTTGATTACTTCATCTTCGGTATGTTAATGTTAATGTTCGATGTCTTCATTAATTTTCTTGACAAACAGCAGATATATCTAAATAGAATAAATTTCTAAAATTTGTATGACTAGAGTCCTTCTCTAAATAAATTTAGCTGAAAAGATTATTAACTGATCAAATAATGGCATTGTGTTCCATGGCTTTATGAAGATCCAATCAAGAGAGTGCGCCTAAATTGGCAAAAGAGATTCAAAATCATAGAAGGCATTTCTCGAGGTCTCTTTATCTACATCAAGATTCTCGAGTGCGAATTATTCATCGTGATCTTAAACCAAATAATATACTTTTAGATGAAGACATGAATGCAAAGATATCAGATTTTGGTATGGCAAGGTTGTTTGCAGTAGATCAAACTCAAAGCAACACAAGTAAAATTGTTGGGACTTAGTAAGTCTATATATTCTGGATTATATATGCTGTTGCTCGAGCTATTCTTAAATTAAGATTTTGAATGCTATTCACCCTAACTTTGACATGATGCAGTGGATACATGGCACCGGAATATGTAAGACATGGAATCTTTTCAACAAAGTCAGATGTTTTTAGTTTTGAATATTAGTTTTAGAAATTGTAAGTGGCCAAAAGAATGGTGAATACCGCCGTGGGGAGAGCATACAGTTCATAGGAACTGCTGTGAGTGTGCCCTCTATTAGTACTTTATTCATTTTTGATTAAGTCTTGATTAATTAATTATTCGCATTAATTCAATCATTTTGTTTATTTTTTGGTTCTAAAGCTAAACAAATTATATATTGTAGGCTTGGAAAAGTTGGAGAAGAGGAATAGTGTCAAATTTTGTAGATCCAACTTGATTGAAGGAGGTGGTTCTTCGTCAAGAAATGAAATGATGAGATGCATCCAAATAGGTTTACTGTGTATTCAAGAAAACGCATCTCAAAGGCCATCAATGGTTTCCATTGTAACACTTCTGAGTAGCTCTTCCTGTACCCTGCCAGTTCCTTCAGAGCCGTCCTTCTGCAATTGGACAAGCATGCCAAGTATACCTTCATCATCATCTGGAGATAAACCTGCTGAAGGATCCAGAAATGAACTCACATTTACAGAGCAATATCCTCGCTAGTAAGATAATAATTAATAAATGCTAACCTTGTGTCGTGTCTCTGTGTGCGTGTGTGTGGATCCCATTACAAAGTGTGTCAGTGAAATATAAGTTGATTCATATTCTCTTAGGATAAAGTACGGCAGTAACTAGTTACAACTAGTTGCAATAACCTGTCTCTATTGAGATATTTGATTGGCTTTGCGGCATTCCCATGGAAGTCCATGAGAGTAACGCCTGAAGTCATGACAATAGTCATACACCACCCACTTTTCCTGCACTTGTTCCATCTTCATCTTGCTCTCTGGATCCATGTCTTTGGTCTGGCGGGCAACACCAAATCCCCGGCACGATGGCTCCGGGCTCACGGTGCAGGCGCGGGCCGTGAAGTTTCGGAAAGAAGCAATGAAGGGAGCATTGGACATGTCGATCTTCACCTGCCCCCACCTGGTAGCCCAAGAGTCTCCATTCCAAAGCGTTGTGAAAACCCTCATGGGTTGCCTCGTTGGGAAACGCACACCGATCTCATGCCTGTTTCGCATCACTCTTATGGGAATGTTATCCACTAATATTCTGCATTCATTCAAATTCAAATTTATTCCAACAATATATCATACACTTGAAAACAATAATCGCACAATCATCATGCATGTTATCAATATAAAGCTAACAACAGATTTGAATTGTTTGCTGCCTCTTGTAATGTATAAGAGCTCAGCCCTTCATTTCATTTAATGGTTAGAGAAATTTCATCCGATTCCCTTAAATGAAGGATTGAAATTGTGGGAATTATAGAGGGGATAACATATGTCCCAAATCCAAAACTAGCAAAGGCTTATAAGTTTAAAAACTTTTCACTCAGTAGGCTAGTTACTAAGATGACTCTCCCTTCAAACTTCATACTTGTTATATTTGTACTTTTATTGAGAGTGTTACGGAGATTACTATCTAAGGAAAGTTCTTACTAGTAGGAGGTTGAATGAAGTATCATTAGGTAAAGCCACCAAGGACATCAGCTCTCGAACGGAGTGGCATTATTATAAGTCTCACATTAAAAAATTTTACAAGTGGGGTTTATAGGTTCATCTTTTGAATAGGCTATCTTATTCAACTTGTGCTTGTAACAGAGACATAATATTCATAACCTATGAATATTGTTTTTGATATAAAAATAATTACAAAGCCCTGACACATATATATCAACAAGTCATGAATAGTAGTAAAATTTATTTGTTAAATTCTATGCAAAGCATGATTGGTAGTAATGTGACTTACATTATACGTTGAGAGTTCCAATCAATAGAATAGGTGTGGAAGTCCTCAGTGGGATCAAACCAAAGATAGAATTGCATTTCTCGACCTCCTTCGCCGTAGGCAAAAATGTTGGTGGACATCAGATAAGGATCTCCCGACAGGTTTCCTAAGAACTCTATGTCTATCTCGTCGTGGTGGGGTCCCTCCGAGCTTAACTTCGTTCATTACATGCAACATTATAATCACCAAAATTAACCTCCAAAACCATTGCTAATCCATGAAGCAAGCGCGCGAGGGCACATCTTTAATTTAAGGTTCAAAGCATCATGTCAGTAAAAATTAAAAGAACTGTGTATGTTCTGAATATATTGGATCAGATCTAGATTCTATGACTATCCCAATTCCTCTCGCCCTGTGAGCGTTCACACTGCAATTGTAGGATTTGACAAACCTTGAAAATAAATGCCTGACCAGGAATATATGAAATGGTGAGTTAAAGGGAAGGTATATGAAAATGTATTTCAACTATTTCTCTATGCATATGAGCAATTAGATTAAGGTATGCGTACGACACAACAAAAGGCTGAGCTATGATTTAATGTTCTATATATGTGTATTTTGTGCATACCCATTCAATTAAAGTGACAATCTTTATAGTACCAGGTGGGACAATCAATGGATAAGAGGATTTGGGACACTCACCAAATCCGAGATCACCTCATCACTCAATATGTGAAACATAGCCATTTTGAAAAGTAGGTGAGATAACATAACTTTGCAAACAGATAACAGATCAATATAAAAGGTAGAAGTGTTTTGAAAAGGAACTGGATTTAAGAAAAGACCCCAATAGTAACACTAGAGTTTCATAAATATGAATTAGTAATGAATGGGAAAGAAGGGAGGGCCATGAATACGTACATAAAAAGCAGTGACTGTGCCTGCAGAGTTTCCTGGAATGAGTTTGATTTGCATGTCAAATCTTCCAAACAAATACTCACTCTTGGAAATAACGCCGGACCCAGAATATTGATCCAACGTTAGGAATAAGCTTTTTCCATCATCTTCGATTCTGGCTCTGTTTTCTCCAAAGAGAGTGGCAAAATATTCTCCGAAATTCCCATCCACAGCAATACTCGTGCCAAACGTTAGAAACACACACAGAAAAACAACAATGGAACTACAAGACATGGATGATGAACACAATTCTTTTCCTTTCTTTATGTTGATACAGTCACGGTATTTTAGATGAAATGAAAAGAAGAAACGAAGGATTCAAATTGCTTCTTCGCAGCAACATAACAACAACGTGGAGGTAACATTAATATGAATGCTATAGATCCATGTTGTGGAAGGTTTGTTATCAGAACCTGTTGTGACAACCACATGCCTTACAGTAGTTGCAACATTATATGGGGATCAATATCTTATGATCGTAATATTTGATGGTGCAAACTGTATATGAACGAAACCTTGGACTTCTTTTTTTTTTTTCCTGGGAAAAATTTAGTTGGAGACAGATAGAAAGACGAAAAGGAGAATCAGTTTTGATAAATGATTTCTAAGAATGATGGTTTAGGAAGTTAGGTTGATCCATACAGATGTGTCGTGGAATTTGAGGTTGAACAATAGTCAAATAGCTGAATTTAGGATTGTTTTTTTAATAATAGGAATGCTAAATATGAAGGTATGAGAGTTTGAACACGCAAGACTAGAATAGAAACTCCTCCATATTCTAAGGATATGTTTTCTAATTTTAATTTTTTTAAACAAATTTAGGTGAATTGGATAAAAGCAAACTCATAACTCAAGAATGTTTGAAAAATGAAAAGATACTATAAAAATGTCCAAGTGTGTGGGTGAACTTAGAATAAAAACAGTACACTTATATTATTCGCCAGAAAACAGGCACTAAAATTAAAATTAATATATTTGACCAAATTATTTTTAACTTTTAAGGTATTAATATTATGAATTATATTATAAATCTTTAAGCATGGTTTATCCTTGGCATTTGTTCTTGTCTTCAAGATTGCTTTTATTTTAATACCGTTATTTATCTGTCATGCAAGTTCATTAATTATGCAAAATAGCTGTATCAGTAACTTGCTCTCCTTGACACTATAAACAATACATTAATTCCTCTTCTATTAAAAAAAAAATGGAAACAGCTTGCACTGATGATAAAGTCCTGATGTTTTTCGGTGAATCACATGTTATAATGCTAAATGAATAATATAACTCAACTGTTCCCGATACAATACACGAAAATTAATTAAAAAAAATGGAAACAGCTTGCACTGACGATGAAGTCCTGATGATTTTCGGTGAATCACATGTTATAATGCTAAATGAATAATATAACTCAACTGTTCCCTATACAATACACGAAAATTAAAAAAAAAAACTCTGTCTAGTCTCAAGTGTTACTTCAAATATTGCAAAGGTATTAGGGATAGAAGTTTTATAACATCAGGTTCTAAATTCACAATGGTAAACAAAAACACGCCAACCTACATGTTAATATACATATATAGAATTTCTCACAACCTTTCTAAGCAACAAAAAAAAAAAGAACCAGAATTAATATTTTACGTGGGCCAACTATACTCCATATATAATGTGTTACGTTACATATTAATGGAAGATAATTGACTTGTTTTTTCAACAATATAATATATGTCTGCTTGTCTTAGTATTTAAAGAGGTTCATTTTCCCAGAATAATCTATTTAATAATTTCTTAATATAAAAATCTTCAGTCAAACTTGAGCGATGGTCTTATATGTAAATTAAATTATCTTTTTAGGCTAAAATTAAGAAAAACTAAATCATGATCCAATAGACATTTATAAACTTATACATTAATTTATCATTGTCTACTAAAAAAATGTTGACTAAACTGTGATGTCTATTTTTATTTGGTCTATATCTAAAGAATAATTTGAAGTAAATAATTGCCATGTATGCACACACCCATCTTATCCTAACCACATGTCATAAATAGAAATTTTAATTTAGATGAGTTGTTTAAGTGACATTGCCATCTCTCTCACTTGGACATGCAAGATCTTGGACTTGATCCCACCATTGACATCTTAGTGTACGCGTGTATTGAATTTGATTGTATAAAAAATAGACAATTTAGATTGGCATATAAATTAATGATTATATGAACTTTGATTTGAAAAATCTAAATCTATGTCACACCCCAAAAATAGAACATGTTTGGCACATAATATAGAGATAATACCCATATCCTAAAAGTCTTTACTCAAGAAAACTCTAATTTATAAACCATGAAGACCTTTGATAATAAATTAAGCCATCCTCAATACAAACCATACGAACAAAAGATTTAATATTTTACAAAACAGTAGTAGCAGCAAAGAATTTTCTTCAGATTAGTAAATATCAAAGTATAAATCATAAGGATGAGGACCCTAACTATAGCTTATGTAGAGTACCTGATATAAAAAATTTACTTTAAAGAAGTTTGATTTCAGCTTTTCATCTCATCTGAATATTACTGCCCATCAAGGATTAGCGGAAGGCACAACATCAGCTAACATATCTGAGACCAAAATAATAATTTTCAGTAAATAATGTCCCAACAATAAATAATAGAACATGAATAAAAAGAAAAGTTTGAAATAATTTCATAAATTGAGAGACAAACAATTTTTATAAAAAAATTAATAAACCTTATAATAAAATGGCTCAATAAAATTTCAAATAAACTCTTAAATTATTGAACTATCATAGTAAATGAAAATATCACTTAATTTCAAAAAAGCACATAAATGAAATAAATATTTATAAACAAATTACTAAATAAAAATCAATGGTATATAAAATCATCAAATAATTGTATTCATAATTATAGGGACTTATCAAAATAATTAGCAAACGTGGACACACAATCATGAGAGTAAATAACCAAACGTGGCTTATGACATGAAAATAAATGTGGATACACAATCCATAAGGATAAGCAACCAAATGCAGCCGAAACCATGAAACAAATGTGGACACACAGTCCAAGAGGGTAATGCTAACTAAACGCGACCGAAGCCATGAAACAAACGTGAGTACGATGCTCACGAATAACCATCCATCCATTCCATGTGCATTGGCCATTGCACGGGGCTAGCACCTCCTATAAGCATCCTGCTAACTAGATGAACTGTGGCGCGCCAAGGGCTAACGGAACTGCCATTAGCAACCAGTGTTCCGTATAAAGTTTCTTTTTTTTTAAACCATTTTCAAACATGCGAGAAAATTATCATTTTTAAGATACAGTTCTCATTCTTAAAATCAAACTCGCATAAATACTTTTAAGTATTAAAACTTGCCAGAATAAAATTTCATATCCAATGCTCATACTCGCATTTATCGAATAATAAAAAAAATTCATAGTTGAACTCACAAGAATCATTCTTTTATCAATCCAATATTTGATAAAATAAAAATCTCATAATCAAAGTCCAAACTTGATTTAATTAATCAAATAACATTTCAAATTTGGTAAATTAATTTCTCAAAATAAAGAATATTAATCAACAAATATTCAATAATCGCATTAATGCTATTAAAATAATTTCTAGAAAAACATAAATTTTAGTAAAGGAAATTTTAATAGAAAGAAAATCAGTTGGGACGCTATCCACTTATCTTTAGTATGCCCAAGAACCAAAATTCATTTCTTTCAACTTCATCCATGTCTCCCTTCCTCTAAACACCTATTCAAGGTGATGAACAATTTAATAGCCTTACTCTAGCCAAATAAATTATCTTTCAATATTGATAACACTATAACCAATCGAACTCTAAATCATTATAATTTAATCAATCCAATCTCAATTCTTTAATCCTTTCAATACTTTACATGTCTACCTTTCTATTTGACACTTTGATTAGATTTTAATCTGCCTTCCAATTCTTATACTAATATTTTAATCAAGTGTGTGTGTGTGTGTGTGTATAATTTTTTTTAATCACAATATAGCCATTACATATAATTTGCCACAATAATCAAGATTTCTCCCTTACAATTACAACTTACTTAAAGCATGATTGCCATTCAAAATAAGCTTTCTAATCCTCAATTCAAACTTACTTCAACACTATTCCTATCCTTGCTCATGCACAGCCACAGAGCAAATGGAAAAGAACAAATTTTTATCTATGTATAGACTGGCTGAGGAAAAGAAGATAGGTGGTATTCACCCATCTATGGAAGCATATGAAAATTTAAAAAGGGCAAACTCGAAATATTGTCTAGCCTCATGAGCATGACAGTGACACCAAAAACAGAGGAGAATGACCGACAATCAATGAAGTTTAAGATTGAAGTTTGAACAACCAACAACAATAAAGAATAAGAGAAGCTGAACTTACCACACACACATACTTGACACCCATGCTGAGAAGAACAAGGAAATTGAAAGCTGAGAACACATGCACAACACGAGCTTGCACGACCAGCAAACAAGAAAGTAGAGGAGAACAAATTCATGTAGCTCAGCACTTCAAGTTGACGGCATAGACAAGAATCTATGGTGAAGATCCAGGATGCACACCGACGGCAAGAATTAGAGAAACAAGCAAGAAATGAAGAGGAAATGTTAAAGCAAAAACCAAACGCTCCCTCTCTCCTCGTGCTCTCACTCCTTAACCAGAATAAAGACAGCATGAACAGGGGAAGATGTGGAAGAATCCGGCGGCCTTCAACAGCAAAAGATCTCCCACTTCACACACAAACACTAGCAACAAACAGACGAGAGAGGACGAAAAAGAATCCAGCGGCACACAAACATTCACAACAAGACGCAAACAAGAACGGCAAAGGTAGAGCAACATACGAGGAGACCGAGATGGGAGCATGACTGAGGACTGGGGATCGCATGGAGGTGATGAGCTCCCACTTCGCCGGTGGCGCTGGAGATGGTGGATGAAGAAGGAGAAGCCGGGAGAAAGTGGAGAGTTTCCAAACTTCTCTTATCTGGTTCCAGAATTGTGATTGGAAGAGAAAAGGAAACATAATGAGAAAGAAAAAAATCGCAAGCTCTCTCTCTTCTGTACACACCACCGACTAAGAAGGTCCAAAGAAAGTCAAATAATATCTCATGAAGAAATTTACAAAACAAGACTCAAAGTTTAATGAGAAAATTTCAAAAAAAAAACCCTATCAATTTTTGTTATTATAATATTTTTATAATAAAAGTAAGGACTCTTTAGTACTTTTTCATAAAAATAAACTAACATTTGGCTAATGTGAAATTTGAACTCTAAACCTCTATATAAATATCCAGTATAAATTTTAATATATCATTGCTCTTTCTTTATCATAAAATTAAAATTAATTAATTATCAATTGAAAGGGAATTTATTTAATTTAAAATTTAGAGTCATTACAATCTAACTCAAATAAGTGTACTATATGTATGTTGTAATTAATGAGGGACATTTTTGGGAGAAACTTTGATGGGCAATCCAAGAGAAGGGAAGGGCAAGGGATCCAAAGTGATAGGCTCATCATCATGATGAGGATGGATCAAGGACCACCGAAACTGAGTGACAACATAATGCAGAAAGATGAGTATATTGAGCTTAGCCAGTTGATAGCCAGCACACAGCCTAGGTCCTCCTCCAAAGGCAACAAATGCATATGGTGGTATTTTTATTGCCTCATCTTCCTCAAACCTACTTGGCTCGAACCTCATTGCATCCTTGAAATACTCTTCATTGTAATGTGTCCCATATGCTGTCCATAGCACCTGTAATTTGCAAAAAAATAATCACCCTTCTTTGAGACTAACTACTTCTAAGCTAGACATGCAATATTAAATATATAAAGGTATAATATTAATTAAAACTCTGTCATTTATTAGGTTCCGTGCCTGCAATACATGAGAAGGGAGAGAATCGCAGTTGAATCCCAAAATAATAAATTAATAATAGGTTCTTTTAAAAAAATAAATTACAAATATCAATTAAAATAATTGCAAATTCAACAGTACCAGTTACAAATAAAATATCTAATATCTAAATATATTCTCTCATGTCTTATATATAAGATAAAAGGAGAATTTTTTTGACCTATTTATAATTTATGTGATTAAAGTTCCCCTTCTATCTCCTCCCATTAATAAATTTTAGTGAAAGAAACTAGATTATTAAAGTATTTATATTTAATTGTATCTTGAAAAAAAAAGTAGTGTGCATATTTAATAGGGACAAAATTAAAAGTTACTAAATTTTTAAATAAATTTAATGAGTTCTAATATTTTTTTAATTCCAGTGAAATATATCAGAAGTCACTATAAGTAGGATTGGCGTGAGTAACGATTTGCTGATATTCTATCAATATTTACAAATTATTTTTTCAATTTTGTTAGCACTTAATTATTATTAATCTGATTTTTGGTGGGGAATTTATTATCATCCATACACATACCGAGAATCCACTTAGTAATAAATTAAGGAAAAATAGAAATTAAAGTGGATTACCTTCCATCCTTTGGGTATGGTGAAGCCCTCATAATCAATGTCAGCAACAGTCTTCCTGAAGGAGCCAAAGATAGGAGGGTGCAATCTCATGCTTTCTCTCGCAACTTGCCATGAATATTTCATCCTCTTTACGTCTTCCAGTGTCACATTCTCACCCCACCTTTTCTTCTTCTGTATTTCTTCATGTTCTGCAAACACATGCATTTAATTTCCCACCATGCTTTAACGCATGCCAACTTGTACAATACAAATATATATATATATATATATACACAGATACCTTATCTGCTTATATATCTTAGATATGTCAAACAACATTATATTATCTGATTTATCCTTGATCAAATTGTTGTTTAAGAAACTATAAAGAATAATGTAAAATGATACCTTGAAGGAGTTTAGCGTAGCAGTCAGGGTGGTGAGCGAGCATCTTGAAAGTCATGGCAATGGCGAAAGAAGTTGTATCATGAGCTGCAAAAACCAGCAGAACCATGTTGTCAACAGCTTCTTGTTCAGTGATCTCACCTTTAATGATCCCACGAACCAGTTTACTCAGAAGCATCCCTTCTTCTTTCTTTAACATTCCTTCCATTAATATCTCCCCTTCTTCTCCCTCACCTCATTCATCAGCATCTTCTCTATCTCGTTCCTCGCCTTCTTCGCTCTCCAAAACTTACAACCAGGAATATTAACTGCTGGCGAGAACACTCCTTCCAGAACCTTCTCGAACGTGTTAAGGATCTCTGGCTTCACCTTCATCCCCATTAAACACTCGAACACTACATTGAAAGTCAGAACTTTGGCCGACCTGTAGAGGTGAATCTCTTCTCGGCCATGCCAGTTTCTTGAAATGTGAAGCTGAACTGAGTTACAGATCCTTGAGACGAGAGTTTCTAGTCCAGAATGAGCAAAGCTTGAGACTATAACCCCACGAAGGAATCGGTGCCTTTCGCCATCTTTCTCCATGATCGAGTCCTTCCCCATGAGCTGAACTGAAGACGAAGGCCAAGAGCTTCTCACCAGCTTAAACTCATTGGACATGAAAAACTTGTTGGCTTCTGATCCATTCACGATCACAGTTGGTGATCCCATGAGCCTTGTTTTGAAGATCTTCCCATGTTTCAGAATCCGAGGCTGCAAGAAATCCTCGAACAGCTTGTTTCTTTTCTGTGCATTGAAGAAATCCATGGTCTCTCCGATCCATGGGAGCCCCATTTTACCTGGTGGGAGCTTCTGTTTCCTTCTGGTTTGGCTTTGTTTGCTCCTCAAGAAACTGAGAGAAGAAAATGCAATCAAGAGAAGGAAGGAGACCCACATGAGAGAACAGATGAACTCTGTAGACATTATCGAAAAATTTGAGCTCATTTCCTAGAATAGTGTGTTGAGGTGTTTATATATACATGTGTGCGGCTTCACGTATTTATAGGAACATTTGCGTTATTATTTAATTGTTGTGTAAGAAGAAGAAGAACAAATTGTCAAACCCAGTTGATTCTTATCAGAAGGTCAACTGTTTCTTGAAGTCACAAACCGTCCAAATGAATATATAATTTGAAGGAGACGGTGGAGTTGTCTATAAGGAATATAACTCCGGAAAAATTATATTTATACGAATCTAGCGACTGAAATACATAAATTAAAAATTAATATTTGTAAAAATACTAAATTAATGGTTGGCAAATTGTAGTGTACAGGTTCTATTTAATTCATAGAAATCGTAATTAAATTTTAAGAATTTTCTATTTTCAAATATTTTTATAATCAACCAACCTAAATTTAAAAATTTAAATTATTATCATATTTTACATGATTCATTATTCAAACCACAATTATTTAAGAAAGAGTTTTTAAATTTTGAATAGTTAGCTATACATTTCTAAAAAAAATCAATAATAAATTTGGTATCAAAAAATAATTAATATTTCTTAAAAATATTTTTAAATTAAATATTTAAAATTTACTAACATTTTAAGGTAGAAAACTATAACTTACACATTAATTAATTAATTAAATGAGTCGCCCCATATGAATTACTATATCTTGGCAAATAGCTGTCGCCTGGCAGGTTCATGTTCTGAGAGAATCACACGTAATATTATGATAATGTCTCTCAAATATTCCTCAGAAAAAGGACGGTGCATGCAGATTCTCATGTGGCTCAATTGAAATGGAAATAGTAGCATTCTTTAATTAATTATTACAACTGTTTATAAAATGTAAGTGCATATATATAAACTAAAAGTGACTTTAAAAAATTATGTGCAACATATTTGCATATAGTAGAAGTCATTTTTTTTTTTTTAATATTCATTGTCTTTTATGTCTAACGCGTGTTTACCTTAATAAATTTTTTTAAGTCCATCAATTGGGGGAAAAAAAAGTTTAGCTTGCAACAGGTATATATGCAGACCTTTCTTAGTTAATTGAGAGATTTTCAAGTGTGTGCGGGTGCGTTTATGAATCAGGTCGGCTAATTAACAGAATATACAGGCTGAATGTTAAAGAAGAAAGTATACAAAAAAAAAATCATGAGTAAATTGGCCCAAAAAAGATAAAATATGAATCATAAAAGAAAGAAAAAATAACTTCATTATATAAAAGAGATAAATAAGTAAGTAAAAATTAGGTCTTATATATTAAAAATTTCAAAGTCAACTAGTATAATATCAACGGAGCTTTCAATTTTCAAAAGCGGGGGGGGGGGGGGGGGGAAGCTTTTAACATGCCACAAAATCCCAAAAAATCCGGTGGCCTCCAGCTCTCATAGGTGGATTGTGTTGATAATGCATGAAGATTATGAAGAATCAATGGATCATTAATTTTGTTTGAACATATCTACATTGTTATTATATACTCCATCCATTTCTATTTGCAAGAGAAAAATAATTATACCACACAGCTTGATAAAATTAGTTAACTATATTAATTGTATCTAAAAATAAAAAAAATTAAATTAAAATATCTTTCATTAATTGTGTAAATCAAGTCTTTATTAATTATTTTTTATGAATGTGAATGATGAAATTATGAGGGTTAATTTAGAAAATTTATAATAAATGCTTATTGAAAAATATAGTTTTGCTTATATAAAAAAGAAACTAAAAGTGATATTTTTTTTATATATAAAAACGGAGGGAGCACTCTTTCCATCCCATCTTATAAAATACTTACAAAATCACACGTATTAATAAATCTCATTAAATACATTTTATAACTTTATTTTTTAAAAAAAAAAAATAAACTTCAAAAAATATCCTACATTTAATACTCTATTTATGAAATAATACTAAAAAGAGTGAATATAATATGAATAATAATATTAAAAATATATTATTAATAAAAATCTATTTTTGTCAAAGTATCTTATATTTTAGAATGATGAATCTCTTTTAAAAGTATGCTATAATTTGGGATTGGGGAAGTATTAACTTATTTATATTATTTACAACTACAAGGGCATACCTATCTCATCTAATTATCTAGAGATTTTGTGCAAACTTCGAATGGAATGTGATATAAAGAATCATGAACCTGTGTGTATATAAACACCTTTTTCTTTGCAATTCAATTTTTCAACTAGGATGAGCTTGGGAAGAGTCATTACTAGTTTATCACTTGTAATTCTAGATAATGAAACTTGCCATACTTTTTTATTATATTCAAGGTAAAGTAACTTTTAATCTTCTAACTTTATATCAGGTTATAATTTAATCTTTTAACTTTATAAAATATCTTTTTAATCCTTTAATCTTAAAATCATTAGTTTTAAATGATTACTGTGTCAACCATTGTTATTTTAAAATAATTAAACTTAATATATTAATATTTAAGAATATTTTGTCAATATTTAAAAATTTAATGTAAAAATTTATTAGGATAAAACTCACAATATTAGTAGGGTTAAAGGATCAAAAAGACATTTTATAAAATTAAAGGAAAAAATAAAAGGTTATGTAAAGCTAAATGACTAAATGTATACTTTAGCCTTATATTGATTGATGATTAATGATTACTGTAAATGAAAAAAAAACCTAATAATTAATTTTTTTAATCCCTGAAATGCATTTTGAAGGGTAAACGAATTACCCTGGTGTTTTTGTTGAACTGCTACCTTTCTATATTTCATTAAATTGTATTTGCATGTGCCCTTTTCTTCTATTTCGATCTTTTATTTTTGACGACAAAATTATAATATCCATTGAATGGCTCTCACCAACATCATAGTCATCATTTAATTCTTTTCTATTTTATAGATTCAGACAAAATACAAAAATGGTTGATCTTCCTCGCCATTAAATTCTAGCTTTCCCCATGTTTAATTGGGGAGTTATACTCATCATATATAGAAATAGAAAGGATAAACATAACTTTTATTCCATATACTTTACTCGCGTTTTGCTTTTAGTTCCTATATTTTTTTTTAGTATTTTAGGTCTCTTCACTTTTATTTTTTGTTGTTTTAAGTCCTTCTAAAGTCCCTATACTTTGTTCATAAAGAGACCGAAAATAATAGAAAATAAAAGTGTAAAAACATAAAACACTAAAAAAAAAAGTATAAGTATCAAAAACAAAATGCGAGTAAAGTACAGAAACCAAAACTTATAGTTACCCAAATAAAAATGATACAAATGTTTTCACCAAAAAAAAAAAAAGAAATGATAGAAACAATACTCTATTAATTATAATTAATTAATACTCTCTCTTAATTATAAGGTCAATTGCTCAAACTTTGTTAATAGAAAAAATAATTTTTATGATCATTATAGATATTTCTATTACTTTAAATTTTTATAATATTTTTGAAGATTTTAAATTGACTATTCTAACTTTATAAGTTTGTATTATGTATAACTAATAGATAATTGTTAAGCATACAAAAATTTTGAAAGTCATTAATTTTAATTCTATAATTAGTTTTATAACAAATATATTTTAAAGAATTTTAATTATTTTTGTTCATTAAAAATATTTTTCATATTTTAAAAAATATTTTCAGGTTAGGCCAAATCAAGCCTTCAAGTAACTCAATATCTAAAGGTAAGAATAGGCTAATCCAAGCTTTGATTAAACAAAGTTGAGCTTATATGTAAGCTTCAAGCATGAGCTTGCAATATGCCTGACCTACCCCTAAAGCCTTTTCAAAGGCATTCTTTATATGTGAGCCTTTAAAAAAAAGCTTTTAACTTACGTTTCAAAGTCTTTAAATAAGTTTAGAACTTATACAGACCTTTAAAAAGGCTTTTAAGTTTATGTTTCAAAGTTTTTAAGTAGGCTTAGAACCTATGAAAGCTTACATTTTTATGTAGAAGTCTACATATATTTCATATTTTAAATAAGCTTAAAAGCTTTAAATTTAAATTTAAATATGTAAATTTAAATATGATATACTATATAAATATACCTAAATAGGCCAGGTTTATAGGCTTATAAGCCAAATTTTAAAACTCCTAGCCCAGCTTATTTATATATATAGGCTTCTAGATAGGCATTAGGCTTAGCCTGTTTATAAATATGCTAGGTCAAAACATGTTTCAACTACGCTGAACTATAAATTATCTAATAGAGGTCTAATCTATTCTCATTCTTATCAATATTTGAATTGCTACATCTGACTAGGCATCAAGTTGGAATGAAGCTTAATCCAACGCTATTCATGTACATTCCCATTTGAAATGGACGAAGTGCAAGTCTCAAACATAGATGTTTGTCTTAGAATTCCCCCCCCCCCTCTTTCTCTCTCACACACACTTTGCATGACATCAAATAATTTCAGAGGATCGTCCTGTGGAGGTTTAAGTTATATATATATATATGTTTGTGTGTGTGTATTTATAAAAAATCCCATTATTTATATATCATAAATTCATTTTTAAAAATAGGATGCCACATCTAATTTATGTATGTATATTATACCTCCCAATCAATCCTTAATATGGGACTTTTTAGTTGGTCCTAAATGTAGGATCTTTTTTAAATGAGTTTGCATAGCATATAATGTATTACCAAAAATGCCCCTATTTAATTCATCACAGGTGTGGTAAAAGATAAAGTCCTCTCGCCTTTAATTTAATTTAAAAAGGGAAATTATTTTTGGACTAACATTGTATTTTTTTGGAAAAGAAAATTAAGATTGTCAACTAATTTTAACTTCTGGCCTTAGTCCACATGTTTCAATTAAAAAGGATTCTATAGGATAGACAAAATAATTTCTTTAGTCTGGATTATTGGACCATCCGGTATCTTAGATTGCACCGTTATAGTTGGAGGATTTAACAGGTCCAAACTAATTTAAATCCAGGACGATAAATAAAATATGACAAAACCTTCTTATAAAATATTTAATGTAACTAATGCACTCTTAAAACGTGAACTTTGGTATTTTTGATTAAGCTAGTACACAGTGCCTACTAACTGAACTGAAGGCTTGGTGCGTGATGAGTAATTTGAAGGAGACGGCTTCCTGTCTTTGCGTTTGAAAGCAAAAAATGGAGTCAAAGAGGAAGGCTCGAGAGATTAATTAGCAGCATCCCCAAGAGGACCCAAAATTGGTTCCCCCATTTACTGCTTTCCCAACATTACTGTGCACCCTCAGCTACTCTCTGTATCTCCCTTCAATGCCATCATTACTTACTCTCCTTCGCTTTGCCACTTGTCGCTCTCCTCTTCTTCATTGTCTCTCCCTCTCTGATTTTCTTTGTGACCTTCCTTTATAGCAACACATCATCCTCCAACATCTTGTTAATACCTGGGACATGTGTCTGTCTTTGTTAACATTTCAAACACATAATTATTAAAAAGCTCTCATCTTTGATGACAATATTGTTTCCTGATATCTAAGATGCATATGGTGAAGATGATGGGCTTCCTGGTATTTCATATATTACGGTAGATGACATTATTAACTTCGTGGCCAACTACAAAGTCAGAGAGATTATCTGTAAGAAATGTGCAGTTCATGGTGGACCAAGATGCTTTTTTTTTGGGGGGGTTACAAACCAAGATGATTTTCCGTTCACGGCTTTCTCCACCTAGATTTGTAATAGATTTTTCTTGCAGGCACCAACGGTGAAAATAACATTCCCGGAAGCACTGTGATTTCTCTGCTTTTTTTTTCTTTTTTAAGTCACAACTCACCACAACCAAAGGAAAAATAACATATACAATGTCATTGAATCCGACATGCCTCACAAGTTACATGCGGAGTAAAGTTTATAAATGTAATGATTTTTTCTCTCAACAAGCTAATCTTTTAAAGTAATTTTTTTTTTTTTTTTGAAACTTATACTCATAAAAGTTAGTGTTTTTATTAAGAGGTCCATCTTATGAAAAGGGTTATCCACAGAAAATCTTAATCAATGGGAGATCAAGTAAAGTACTATAAGTGAAGCCCCCAATAATATCAAGCATCTTGAATATAATAAGGTTACATTATCATGATTACCATATCATAGAGCTTCATAAGTAAAATAGGGTTTATAAGTATCAAAAGCTCTTACTTCCAATAAACTAATAGTATTATGAATATGTTTTTTTTTTCTTTATACTTGTTCTCATGGCACCTGGATTATATCTTCATTATGTTCATGTATTTATACTACCGAAGAGAGAGTGAAACAAGATAAAATGTGGACATGTATAGTCTATATCTCATAATTACACTTTTTACTCTATGCATAGTTTATTCAGATCAGTGCCATATTTTGAATATGGACAATTCTTGCTTTGGGTATTCACATCACATCCATCAGCCTCCTTTAGTGCATCAAGTGAAATATTGGGGATCAATATCACGGCTTGTGAATAGCTACCATACAATACAATTAGCTATTGCCTCTCCAATATTTAGTCCTTATTATTGTTAAAAAAAATTGTAGAAGAGACGGATGATCCTTATTATAAGTCATTTGATGAGATATAATTAATTAAATTTTTTAATATCCATGAAAAAATGACATGTACTTCTTTCCTTTGTTTTTTTTTTTTTTTTGCCCTCAATTCTTTTATTGCAAAGGGTGAAAAAAATTGTTTAGTCATATTATATTTTATGCCCACATAATTAATTAATATAATACAAGGATAAATTTAAAAAAATAATTTTGAAAAATACTAAATTTCCTAATTTTAAACGAAGCTTAGGTGAAAAAATATCTTATAATTCATACAGAAGGGAGTACAATTTTGAATTTTATTGCCATTAGATAAATTTTGAGCTTCCTACTTGTTGAATATATAATGGTAAAACTGATGGAAGAGGTCAAAGGTGTTGATGAAACTATAGTAACAAGTAAAGCAAGTTCCGTGCATTAAAGGTAAATACAAAAAATCAAGCATTATTGGATGAAGAAGTAAATAGTGAGAGTAAATGCAGCCTGCAAAACATCAACTAACCACACACTCCTTCACCTGCTGATATTTACTCCACTCTGAACCTTTTTATATTCCCTCCAGACCCTCACTTCAAATCATTCACCTTCCTCGCTTGTTTTACGAGCTTGTTCTAAATCCTAAGCAAAACTTGCAGGGATCAGAGATGGAGAAGAGAAGTAATAACCATGCTTCTCTTTTAGTCTGTTCACTGCTCGCTTGCTTGATCTCTCAGAACCTTATTATCCCTGTCATATCCACCGCCATTGAAGACCAGAAAAACTACTACTCTCCTGACCCTCATGCAGGAGCAAGTCCACCCTCAGGTCTCTCTAGTTCTCTGTGTAATGCTCTAACTGTATGATCTTTTTATAGTAGTTTGCAAGCTCATGCATTTACAATACACAGACGCACACATGTTCGTCTTCTCACCACCTTAATGATATAATTAATTAATGCAGGCTCACACAGGAGGCCTCCGTCTCATGGCTCTGGAGGTGGCTATGGAGGCTCACCACCTTCTCAAGGAACTCCATCACACGGAGGAGGTGGAAGTTATAACCCAAGTCCTTCACCACCCTCTGGTGGAAACTGCGGCGGTGGATCACCACCATACGACCCTTCTCCGACGACCCCAACAACACCGTCGACACCATCAACCCCGTCGACACCATCAAACCCACCATCAGGAGGAGGCGGTTACTATAGCTCACCACCACCAGCACCAACTTACGACGGAAACAGCCCCCCAACACCGTCTTACGGCGGAGATAGCCCCCCAACACCGTCTTACGGCGGAGACAGCCCCCCAACGCCGTCTTACGGTGGAAACAGCCCTCCAACACCTATCACTTTGAGCCCACCGACTACTCCAATTGATCCAGGCACACCACCAACCATCCCTTCACCACCTTACCTTCCTTCGCCCTCTCCATTAACTGGTACCTGCAAGTAAGTATCATGTGTTACAGCACCGTACACACACACATGAATGCTTGCATGTAGACCGTATACTGAAGAAGCTTCATTTTCTTCATTTTTCAGCTACTGGAGGAACAATCCAGGAATTATATGGGGATTGCTTGGGTGGTGGGGTACGTTAGGAAGTGCTTTTGGAGTTTCGAGCGTTCCAGGGTTTGGATCCAATCTGAGTTTGCCACAATCACTTTCCAACACGAGGAGTGATGGCTATGGAGCTCTTTACAGAGAAGGAACAGCTTCGTTTCTCAACTCTTTGGTGAACAACAAGTTCCCTTACTCAACCCAACAAGTCAGGGACAGATTTGCAGCTTCTCTTAGCTCCAACAAGGCTGCTGCGGCACAAGCTCATCTCTTCAGAATGGCCAACGAAGGACGCATGAAGCCACGTGTCTGATGGAGATCATGGCGTGTGATGATGTGTCAGTATATTCAGTTATGTCATTAATTACTCATCCTAGTCTTAATGATCAGCTAGTGCGTGTGCTATATTTATGTTTTTATTATGATGTGTCACTTTGTATTAATTAAGACGGAGATATCATGTTGTTACTTTACTATTTAATGTTGGCTTACCATTTATTATTAATATTACCTTCACGCATGGTTCCTTGGTTTTGAACAGTGTCATAATTAATCTTTGTTGGGTTTGTTCCGGTTGGGTCTAAAGTGCCGTGGAATTGAGGCTAAAAAGATTGGACGTAAATTAGAGGACGAGGTTCAGTACTATTGATTTATAAATGAATAATTGAAATTGAAATATAGTATTTAGGCTAACTAAAAGGATTAGATCACCAAGAGGAATATGTTGTGGTTATTTCACAACCAATGATAATCACTAGTCATTGTTGAATTTGACCATAGATTATACAAAATACTATAAAAAATTTCCTTTAAGAATTATTGAATATGAATATGAATAATTGAATATGCACTACTGTTCGTGGTGAACAATAAATATCAGGTATGTCAGAAACACTGAGTCTCATTGATAACAAAAATAATCCCGAACTCTCTTACCATAGTTCATTCGAATGTAAAAAGATACAAAGCTTTGGTAGAACAAGTGTTTGATTTTATTGAAATGTGAAAAAGTTACAAATCTAAACTGAAAAATTAACTGATAAACAAAAGGGTTAAAAAGTATAAAATGCGAGTCTTTGGTTGAATGTTGACTAGTTTTGCCTGTGTCTTCATCTTCTATTTATAGTGTCAGAGTGGTTTCTTAAGACCTATAATGTTTTGTTGAAGAATCAAGGATCTCACAAAACTCATGGCACAGTCTTTATTTCATATTCTTCATTTTGGTAATCAGCCCATTTCATCGAGATACTCGAGCATGAAGTCTATAGGTTTTGGCATTATTTGAGATCATGTCCTTTCGTGCCAACAGTCCAATATTTGCGCTGACAGGATTTTAGCATGTTTATTTATTGTGGCCTTTATCGAGTTTCGGGGCTAGCCACTTTTATTTATATTGGACATGACGCTTCAGTTACTTAGCCCAACTAACCCTGTAACCTATCTAAGCAATGTTTCATATTTTAGCCCAAACAATTATATATTTATTGAATTGCCTAGCCTCAAATATTTTTTTTTAATATGGCTATATATTTGACTGGATCAAATCCAAACATTATCATACCTAATTGGGAGTAGTTAGCTTTTTCAAAAAATATTTTTTTATTCACACGAATTTAAAGCCCAGGATCTTGTGCTTAAGCTGTTATAAGAGCAATTTTATTTTATTTTGTTTTTTGTTTTGCAAAGTGTCGATTGAAGTGAAAAAAAAATCTCAGATTGAATAAAATTAGAGTAAACATGTATATAAATGGAAAATACACACTCTTATGTATGTATGTATGTATGTATATATATCCAATGTCTTATGATTTTAAATAAAGATATGATGTCTAAATTTATTCATTTATCTCTTTCTAAATCAAAGTTGAATTAAGTAAGAGGCTCCGCTTATATATCTGTGTGATGTCTCCTCCCAGCTCAAAACTTTTTTTTTTTTAATTTTTCCTTTTCTTTTTGGCAACAGCAGCGGTTATTGTATATTTCGAAGAGTCGTTAAAATGTAAAGTGCCGGGCTGTTGCGTGATGGTTCAGGACAAAAATACCGGAAGCTAACCGTAATAATGGCCAGGAATTTTCCTTGGGACCCAATTTTGGGGAAACGTCAAAATTTATATACATAATTTTATATATTTAAAATTTTTGTTTTTAATTAAAATTATTTTAAGAAAACAGGCCGACCCTTGCAGGCTCAGGCTGAAAAGACGGTTTTCATTTTGTTACCCCAGGTCCTGATCCTAGAGGATCTCCGACTTAGGGCCTGCCTTGAGGGTTTTGAGCACTTTCATTTTTTAAATTTTTGTTCTTTAAATTAAACATATGAAAAAAAAAATAAATTAGATGAAAATATTAAATGTCAACACATTAAAATACAAAATCATTGTTCAAATTTTCAAAATCAAACTAAATAAAGTTAAATAAAACTAAACAAGTCTTCTTTAAATAACACCAAAATATTAGAAGCATCATGATGATGATCATTTTCATCTTTAATGCAGCTTTTGCAGATATAGACCATGTTATAGGATCAAATTAAAAAAATAATCTAATATTTATTATATTTTGAATTATGGTCAGTTTATTATGTTTGTCAATGATATATCACTGTATATCAATGATAAAGCTCTTGTAAATTTTTAAAATTTCAATGATAAATTTGTTGTATGTCAAAAATAAATTTCTCATACATCAATATGAACCGGTCATGCATCTAAATTTTTAAAAATTCAGTTCATATTTTTTTGGTACAATATTTTTTTAGGCTAGTGGGCCAATTTATCCCATCTGTAATATCAACAATATTTTGTTGTACTTCGTTATGAGTTAGATTGTCAGTGGCAAAAATATCAAGATTTTCTTTTTTATTATGCTAGGATTTTCTTTTTTAAAATATTGTTTTCATATTTGAATCATCTTACCCCTTGTTTATTCAATGTTAATAATTTTTATATAAAAAAAGCAAGCTTAAATGTTCCAGCCCATTTATTTTTTAGCCCATTAAGGCCGACTTGTTTAAGCCTAATGAAACATTGACAAATCTAAAATGCAAGCCCGACCCTCCATTTAAACAGGCCAACCCAACAAGCTCAATCCATTTTCCTATCTTTAAAATTAAATCAAGACATATAAATTTTGATAGATTATTTATTCTACAATAAACTACTCTTCTGATCCTATTTATAAAGCAAATAGAGAAAATTAAGTTTGATCCTATATATAAAGCACTTTACTATTTTTCATGCTTATTTTTACATTTTTGCTCTTATTAAATGCTAAAAAATAATTTTTTTGTCCTTATTAAGGGGTAGATGTGGAAATTTTAAGATAGAGTTTATAAAGTTTAAGATTTTTTTTTTTGTTCAGTGTAACATGCTGGAAGGTGATTATAAATAGGACCATAGGTAATATTGTTATTAATATTATTAACACATTAAAATATACTTATCTTGATTTAACCAAATAAAAGTATGTTAAATATATAAGGTGTAGTACCTAAGTCTTTCAAAAATGGAATATTAATGAAGAGCATTTTTTGAGGTTCATATTTTTATTTTGAAAAAAATAAGATTATAAATTATATTTAATAATTTTTATTAATATGTATAATTTTATTTAAAAGTGTTCTACAAATTGGGACGGAGATAATAATAAGTAAAACCTTATTAAATGGAGATCTAAAGGGACCACTCTTCTTCAATTCTTCTGTATTCTTAAACATTAATGAACCTCTTGTTAACTAAGTCCAGATAATCAGAAAGCGCAAGGAGGAAAGCTATGAAAAAGAATCCAAGAGACAGTAGAAAAGCTAATTACGTATTATTAAAACTTAATGCCTCGAATAGGATTGTTATAATAAAACTTAAGAGGACAATTATAAGCAACAAAAAAGTTAACAAAATTCATCGTATAATTCTCAAGAAAAGATAATTAATGTTCTTGAAATTATTAAAAAAATATATTTGACCATCTTCGCTTAAATTAATAACCATAATAAGGTGTGTCTAAGAATTAAAAGTTTGTTAATAAATTGGAGCAATTAACGAGTGGCAATATAAAAAAATAATAAAATAATATGACCTCCCTTATATTTTATTAAAATTATAGAGGCCTTTTCTCTGTTTTCAAAGCATACATTCTGATTCGATTTTTAACAGTCAAGAATTTTTCATTAAATATTCTAAAATAATCTATTTTTTTCCTTATAATCATGTTGGAAAATTTAAAATTAATAATTTTCTAATTTTTGAAATTGATAAAACTTACAGAAAATAAACATCAATTATATTAACTATAATTTCTCTCTTATTATATTAAATATCTATTTAATTAAGTTTTTTTGCATGTGTGTTTGAAATATTATCTTAGCCAACTTATGTATTTATTTTTAAAAAAATAATAAATAAATAATTTTACATAACTAAAAATAAAATGTGAACAAAAAAGTAAAAAATATGCATTAATTTTTCTGTATTTTAAATCATTTTTAGGTAATATTTATATTTAAAGAGAGATATTTTGATCTAACAAATGTAACTTACCGGTCAACTAAGGAATTTGATGGATGAAAATGAAATCTTTAAAGTGGAAGAGGGGTTTGTATTTTGTGATTATTGATTCTATGGGAGGCTTGTAGATATGGGTTTTTAAAATAGAAGAGAGGTATATGCAATTAAGGTAAAATAGAGGGAACATCAATGTATTTTACTCTAAAAAAATTAACAATTACATTATTTCTCCTTATATTTAAATCAATTAGAACAGTAAAACTTTTCACTATGTAAGATTACAGAGAGTATTTCAGTGAAAACATTCCTAAAAGTAGGGTTGAATAAAATCGAACTAAAACCAAAAATCAAACCAATTTAAATCAGGATTAATCTATTTGATTTTATCTATTTAGTTATTTAGTTCAATTTGGCTTTTTATTTTAAAAAATTTTAGTAGATTGGTTTGATTCAATTTGCAAATTTTTAAATTGAATAGATCGAAAAGACTGAATTATATCATATATATATATATATATAAACTTATAAATTATATATGTAGTTTATTACTTTAGTGCATTTTATGTTTTTATACTTTAAAAAATTAAATACACACACAATACTTATATGTTTGAAATCCTAAAGGTGCATAATTCAGAATTATTCAGATAGTCTTCTCAAACTTATATCTACCAAGTATTTTCATATGATATTCCTACGCAATTTGCTGATAATCCCATTATATATATATATATATATATATATTTTTGCCTTTATCAGTTTGAGATAGGCCATCGTTCATGGTGGGAAGGGATCGGATCTGAGGCCTATACGATGCCTTTATTAGTTTTTTTAATAAAAAATACAATGGATAAAAAAAATAGTAATATAGATCCATGCAACCCAATATAAAGTCCAAAACTAAATCAATTAACCAAATTGAATTGTTAAAATTTGGTTTGATTTGATCCAAATTTTAAATGTTTTCAGTTGATTGGTTTTGTACATTTAATTTTGACACCGAACTAATTGATACTCACCCCTACTCAATAT